TCAGTTGTAGGAGTTCCCAGTGGAATTTTTAGAGTCACTTATGCATACTGTCATATCATCTGTAAGTAAAGATACTTTGACTTATTCCTTTCCAATACTTCAGTTGTCTTATTGCTCTAGCAAAGACTTCATTTACTATATTGAATATGTATGCAGATAGTGGACAACCTTGTCTTGTTTCTGATTTTAGTGAAATTGCTTTGATGTTAGCTAGGAGCTTGCTGTAAACTGCCTGTATTAGATTGAAGTATGTTTCTTATATCTCTAATCTCTCAGAACTTTTATTATGATGGTATGTTGGATTGTGTCAAAGACCTTTTTTGTATGTAATGAGATGACAATTTTTTATTGGTCAACTACATTGACAGATTTTCATATCTTGAACCATCACTGAATCTCTAGATGAGGCCTACTTGATCATGGTGAATGATATTTTCATGTGTTCTTGGATTCAATTTTCAAGTATTTTATAAAAATGTTTGCATCATATCTCTGTGAGTTTCAGGGCAGCCTGGTCTACAGAGCAAGCTCTAGTACTGCCAGGACTACATAAAGAAATTTTGCCCCAAAAAACAAAAAAGAAGAAACAAAAACAAAACAAAAAGCCTCAAAAAAAAAAAAAAGAATGTTTGCATCTCTAAGGGAAATTGGTCTGTAATTCTCTGTCTTTGCCAGGTCTTTATGTGATTTGGGCTTCAGAGTAGCTGTGGCCTTGCCTTATAAAAAACTGGCAATATTCCTTCTGTTACTTTTTTTGAATAATTTGAAGGGTATTGCAATTAACTTCTCTTTGAAGGTCTGGTAGAATTCTGTTTTAGCTATTTTAAAACTGGCTATGCACATTTTTTTCTTTATGGGAGACTTTTAGTGACTGCTTCTATTTTACTAGGGATTATAGGTCTGTTTAAATTGCTCATCTGATCTTGATTTAACTTTGGAAAGTGTCATCTATTGAGAAAATTATCCATTTATTTTAGATTTTCCAATTGGGCGGAGTTTAGGTTTTAAAAATGTTTCCTTATGATTCTCTCAATTTCCTGAGTTTCTATTGCTATCTCCTCCTTTTTGCTTCTGATTTTGTCTCTGCCTTTTGGTTAGTTTGGTTAGTTTGTCCACCTTGTTGATTTTTCTCAAAGGACCAAATCTCCTTGATTCTTTATATTGTTCTTTTTGTTTCAGTTTTATTGGCTTCTGCCTTGGGTTTGATTATTTCTTGCCATAAACTCCTCTTGGGTGTGTTTACTTCTTTTTGTTCTAGAGCTTTCAGGTGTGCTGTTAAGTTGCTAGTAAAAGATTTCTCTAGGCTTTTTTTTATGTAGGCATTTAGTGCTATGAACTTGCCTCTTAGGACAGACTTTATTGTGTCCTACAAGTAGGGGTATGCTATATATTCATTTTCATTGAATTTTAGAAAGTATTTATTTCTGTCTTGATATATTTTTATTAAGTAGTGTTCAGTTTCCATAAGTTTGTAAGATTTCTGTTGCTTCTGTTGTTGTTGATATCCAGCTTTAACCCATGGTCTGACAGATGTAGAGACTTATTTCAAGTTTCTTACATCTGCTGAAACTTTCTTTGCATCTGACATGTGGTCAATTTTGAGGTGCAGAGGAGAAGGTATATTCTTGTATGTTTGGGTGAAATGTTCTGTAAACACGTGTTAGGTTCATTTGGTTTATAATGTCTGTTAGGTATAGCATTTCTCTGTTTATTTATTTATTTTTTCTGGATGATCTGTCGATTGGTGAGAGCAGGGTAATGAAGTCTCCCACTACTAATGTGGGAAGGTCAGTATGTGAGAAAAGAAGTTTCTTTTCACATACTTGGGTGCCTTTGTGTTGGTGTTGGGGGTATAGATCTTAAGAATTGAAATTTCCTCTTGGTGGATTGGTGTGTGTGTGTGTGTGTGTGTGTTGAATAGTAGTGACATTCCCTATCTTTTGTGATTAGTTTTGATTTAAGTTATTTTGTTAGATATTAAAGTTGCTACACCAGCTTGCTTCTTAGGTCTATTTGTATGGAATAGGTTTTCCACTCTTTTACTGTGAGGTAGTGTCTGTCCTTGACTTTTTATTTTATTTTATTTTATTATTTTTTTATTTTCCAGTTTAAATTTAGATAAGAAACAAGGTTGCTTCACAAGTCAGTTCCAGGTCCCACTCCCTTTCCCTCCCCTCCTCCCGTGCCCTCCCCCCGACCCCCCCCGTCCTTGACTTTGAGGTGTGTTTCTTAGATGCAGTAGAAGAATGGGGCCTGTTTGTGCATGGGTTCTGTTAGTATGTATTCTTTATTGGGGAACTGAGACCGCTATAGTGAGAGACATCAATGAACAATGGTTGTTGATTCCTGGTTTTTTCGTTATTGTTGTTGTTGTTGTGTGTGTGCATGCTTTCTTTCTTTTGATTTTGCTCATCTGTGATTATTTATTTGCTGTGTTTTCATGAGTGTCATTAACTTCCTTAGGTTGGGGTTTTCTTTCTGTCACCTTTTATAGGCTGGATTTATAGATCAAAATTACTTAAATTTGCATTTATCATTTAATATCTTATTTTCTCCTTCTATGGTGATGGAAAATTTTGCTGGATATGGGCTGATATCTGTGGTCTGTTTTTCTGTCACAGAGCTGGGGATGAGACTGGGGATTGGGGCTCAAGGAGCCTAAGGAGAGGTAAAGATCTCTATTTTTATTATTTTTAATTGTGTGTTTGTTTGCAAGTGTGTGCAGATGAGTGTGCATATCTGAAGAAGGCTAGAGGTATCAGATCCCCTGGAGATGGAGTTATAGGGGGTTGTATGCTACCCCAAATACATTCTAGGAACTGAACTTGGGTTCCTGTGAGGGCTCGAACTGTCATTGGTGTTTTAGATTTTAGCCATTCTGACAGGTGCAAGATGGTATCTCAAAGCTGTTTTGAATTGCATTTCCCTGATGGCTAAGAATATTGAGCACCTTCTTAAGCATCTTTCAACCATTTGAGATTCCTCTGTTGAGAATTCTCTATTTAGTGTTGTACCCCACTTTTCACTTGGATTATTTGGTGTTTTAGGGACTAGCTTCTCGAGTTGTTTCTGTATTTTGGAAATCAGCCCTCTGTCAGATGTGGGGTTGGTAAATATCTTTTCCCATTCTGTGGGCTGCCGTCTTGTCTTGTTGACATAAAAACAGATTCATTGATCAATGGAATTGAATTTAAGACCTAACATAAATCCACACATTCACTAAAATGCTTCAAAAGAGCTCTATTCTTCTAAGCACTTAGGATCATAGGTATGGAATCTAATTTTATGAATGGGGTTTTTCATGTACTAGGATTTTACATTATGGACATCTATTTACCAAGGGCTGATTACAGTGCTTGATTATTTTCAACTCACTTAATCATTTAATCACCATAACCATAGATGACTGCCAAATTTGCCCTGTTTTCCCATCTGTCTGCAGCACAGAGAAAGATTTCTGACTTCTACAGTGCTTTTTTCTTGTTCTGGTTGTTTGGTATTTTCAATTGAAAAAAAATCACACAATATGTTCTGGTCATAATTTTCCAACAACAATGTCTTGTTGACTGTGTTCGTGTTCTTCCTTTTTTATGTTGTTATACTTTGTTATTTTAGTAGCGTTGCCTTTAAACATATTAAAAGTTGCCTGGGAACCATGAATAATAAATTTCTTATTCTAAACCATACTTGCAGTAAAACACTATTTACTAAGGTCTATGTTTTCCCAATAGTAAATTGTTATCTTTTGATATACCAATTTTCAGAAGATAAATATCCTTGACTTGTTAGCTATTAATATACCGTACCTATTGAACATAAAATTGCTCTTAGAAAGTAATAGTCTTTTTGGTCCCATGCTAATAGTTACTGATAGTTATTTCATGAATCAAAGCATGTATAGTGAATTTGATAGCTGTTTTATTTGACAAGGATTAAATACAAGGGCATTTCCATCAAGAGAGTGTATATCTCATAATTCAGAGAGAAGTCTTGGTCTTCAAATGAATCATACAGTGAGATGGTGATCATTATGGTGTCCTGTGAACATTTTAAAGGTAACATTGGGATTTTTGGCTATATGGGCTATGTGCATTATTACTTTGATAAATATTATTGCCTGTGTAAAATATTAGTTAACATTTTTATTCATTTTTGTTTTCATTTAAATAAGATTTTTCTATGAAACTCAAATGAACCTTCAATTTACCTCATAAGTGCTGGGATTATAGGTGTATATCACCATATTAGGTGTCTTTCATGTTTAAAGAAAATATAACAAATAAGTAAATTGTTTTTTTCATAATTAACCCCAATTCTTAGTCTAACCTCATGGTGGAAATAGTTGAATTTCCAATTGCTGTGACAAAACATCATGACTAAGGCAACTTACAAAAGAAAGATTTATTGGGACTTAAGTTTCAGACGGTTATGTCCTATACCCATCTTGGTAGAAAGCATGGCAGTAGGCAGGCAGCCATGATGCTGTAGCAGTAGATGAGAACTTACATCAGATCCACAAGCATGAGGCCCGAAAAGAGAACTAACTGGGAATGGCATGGACTTTTGAAACCTCAAACCACCCTACCTTCCCCACACCTCCTCTGATAAGGCTACACTTTGGAATCCTTCCTAAATAATTCCATTAACTAGGGACCAAGTTTTCAAACATATGAACGTGTGGAGAGCATTCTTCAAACCGTCACATTAGGAAGGAACTTGATCTGAAGACTATTGTGGAAGTGAGTTTGACCATCTACATGTTTTAAAAATTGAGTTGTGCCATTCCTGGTGGCTCACACCTGTCTCACACCTGCCACCTAGCACTTAGGTGCTGAGAAAGGAGTATTGTGCCAATTTGAAGACAAAGCCTCCTCAAAAAAGGTTAAAACCACAAATGCTGACAGATTCTTCACCAAAGAAGATAAGTATAGCAAATAATTGAAAGAGGTTTGATATCAAGTGTTGTGAGAGAATGGCAATTGAATTCAATACCTACATACCTGTTAAAATGGTTGAAATCTGGACATTGCTGGCAAGGATGTGGAGCAGTAGAACTCTTCATTCACTTATCGTAAGGATCCAAAATCATGAGGCAATCTGTGAAGATAGTTTGACAGCTTCTTACTTATCCAAACACACTCTTGTATACTATAAGAATTATCCTTATTGATATTTAACTAAGTGAGCTGAAACGTATATCCATATCAAAGCCTGTACATGGACAATTAAATCAGAATTATCCATAATTTCCAAAACACTGCAACAATTGAGATGCCCCTCAACAAACCAATGAGTAGATTGTAGTACCCCAGACAATGAAACTTTGGAGTTAAGAGAAATAAGTTACAAAGTCATGGGAAGATGCTGTAAGAAACTTAAATGCATATTATTAAGCAAATAAAGCTTATTTGAAATGAATATGTACTGTATCAGTGCAACTACATGAAATTCTGTAAAAAGCAAAAATATAGAGATTAGAGGCTCCTGGGAGCCCTTGAAGAAGGAGTAGTTAAAAGGAAGACTATAGAAGAATTTTAGGAATGATACTCTATTATACTATATTATTCAGAATGATACTATAATGTGGATACACATCACATAAAAAATAATTGTCTAAATCCAAAGAATGTACAATGCGAAGAGTGACTCCAATGTAAACTACAGTCCTGGGGTGATCATCATTAAGGTAAGTTCAGGGGTTGTAACTAGTGTGCTACATGTGCATGATGTTGATAGTGATGGTGTCTGTTCACAGACTGTAACCAGTATGTAGCATGTGCATGATGATGATAGTGATGGTGTCTGTTCCCAGATTGTAACCAGTATGTAGCATGTGCATGATGCTGATAGTGATGGTGTCTGTTCACAGACTTTAACAAGTATGTAGCATGTGCATGATGCTGACAGTGATGGTGTAAATTCACTGACTGTAGTCAGTGTGCTACATGTACATGATGTTGACAGTGGTGAATGTTGTGCAGCTGTCAGGAAGAAACTCAAACTGTTTTAAAAGCAGTCTGCAATGGTAATAGCAGCAACAGCAAAACCCACAAAAGAACCAAGAGTCTTGCTTTAGTGATTTAAAAACAGTGTGAAGATTCCCAGGTGAATGTTGGTTGGTCTATGAAGTTACAGGGGTTGAAAATTTTGTTTTCAATAGCCTTTAATTTTTTATGGCTAAAAAGACATTTGACGTATACCAAGAACTAGAGGAATGTACTTTTGGAACTAACAAGAACATGTCTGTGTATATTTATTAACAACCCTGTGGACAGGGTTGGCCCAGCAGCCTCATATCTGGAATTATGTACTCTGTCTCTCTATTACCCATATGATTTCACTGGCTGCTAACTACAAAAAGTCCTTCACTAGAGTTGTCCACAGACTACTGAAGCTAATTCCTCTCTTGTGTTGAACGCCATCTAATAGACCATTGTCCATCAAAATTTACCCTACACCTGCTCAGGAACACCCAAGGCTCCACTTAATAAGTACATGCAAAGCTGGTGCCAGACTCTGAAGTTTGAATCATGAAAACATCTCAGGGAGTTTCTAAGAATCTCAGACCACATGCAACTAGGTTTGTGCCTGGGATGCTTTCCCTTGCTATCCTGATTGGCTTTGGTCTCTACCACTAACAAGTACCCCCAAGATAGAAGCTTTGTGTATATATTGCTTTCTTCAGTTACTTAAAATGAAGAAAACCAGTTAGGTAAAGGTAAGAACCAACAAAACTACTTAAAGGTGAGTTAAAGGAAATTAGGAAATAGGAATTAGAAATAGGAAACTCTTTAGCATACTATTAATGGATGGTCAACAAAATTATCCTGAAATAATAGAGTTATTTGTTTACATGCACAGGTACACAAACTGATACTCTATCATAGGGTCATGGAATATCTGCGGTGGAAATATGATGCTAATTCTGGTTTAAAATGAGTAAAATATTACTCTATAACTGAGTTTATATAGTAGAATAAACATGTGATGTGTGGTTAATACATTTTTATCTTTGTTTTCTAGATATCACAAATTGTTTATTGATGAGAGAAAAAAATACAGGTTATTCTAAAATAAATGTAGGTTCAGATCTAATCTGTATTGTCTCAGTCAGTACTTATACAATGGTCAATACAAATTTTATATTGGGGTCGTTTTTCTACTTTCTCCAGGTGTTTTTTATGAAAGCTGTGCAGTGAGAAATTGACGTTCCTAGAAGGCTTGGAAGATGGCTTAGAAGATATTCTTTGCATTTTTCATTTTTATGGTTCTTGTTAATGTGTGTCTTGGGTGATATAAATGGTGTCCTTGTGAATGTGACATGGTCTTTACTGAGTCTCCTGTGCAGGTCTCACAGAAGCCAATGATAGCTGACATTCATGTTAATTATGAAGCTGTGTATTCTGGAGCCTCTTCCACTGGTCTCTAGATTGAGAAAGTCCACGCATCTCTGTAGGTACTCTTGAGAGTACGTTTTATAGGGTTGAAAAATATGTCAGAAATAAGAGTGGTGGCCTGGCAGGCTGGTAACTGAAAAGGGCTGTGGTTCAGGTTCATAATCCGAGACAGCTGGAGACAGAGACTGTTCTTCTTTGGAGGACCTTGGCGTTTCCTGTTAAGGCTTCTAGTTCATTGGGTGAAGCCTACCCACACTTGGCAAGACAACCTGCTTTACTCCAATCCCCCGAGGTAAGTGCTAAGCTTCCAACTTAAGAAGATGCCTTCACAGCAATATGATGTTTTCACAAACACCTGGGCACTGCAGCTTAGCATACTGACACATAGTCTTAATTATCACATTTATGAAGAACAGATACATTCCTCTCCAGACCTCATGGCCCTACCATGGCTTTGCTGTGCTTGGCACTATATTTATAGCAGAAATTTGATACTGCTGTATTCTCCCTGAAACCTATCTTATACTGGAATTTGTAAACTTTTATACACTTCTCCCCTTTGGATCATTGAAATTAAATGGATAGATTCCTCTCCTAGTACTTGGGTTGAATTTACTGTGTCTGGTAATCTCCAAACTCAGTTCTTATCATTCCAGAGGCTTCTTATTTTCACCTTACAGTAGATACTTCCTTTCTCTGTTTCCTGTTGGTTAACATCATAAATCTTTGAACCAGTCAGTCAGGCTTAGCCATTCATATGCAAAGGAAAACTTTGGAAATTAGAACTTTTGTTTTTCTTAATAAAGTTAAGGTAAGAGAGAAATTGATTTTTTTTTAGTTTTTCCACTTAAGGAATAATAAAAGGCAGAATGAATTGATTCTATATTACACTTAAAAATACTATTGGTCTTTGGACAGAGGATTAAATAAAAGAAAGGTCATATATGAAGAAGTTAGCAAATTGCAAACAAAAACTATAACAATTGTAAGAAAGTATTCCCTCCTCCACCACTATTGTATAAACCCAGCAACACTATAACTTGACTTTTGTATAATATACACATTTGTTGGTAATCAATCAGTGATCATTTCTTTCTCCTACAGCTTAGAGTGTATGTAGGTATGTGGTAGGCATTCAATAAATCTTTGTCTGGATTAGCTTATGTAGAGAAAGATTTATTATTGTGAGAAAATAATTCTATTTTTCTCTAACACTGAATATTCTTAATATTTTTTATCTTGTCAAGATTGATTAGATGGTAAGAGATATATGAAGGGGTCCATGTGTGTGTGTGTGTGTGTGTGTGTGTGTGTGTGTGTGTGTATGCATGTATGTGTGTGTGTTCAGTTCATAGAAATTTGTATGCTCTAGCATTTTTAAATACATGACAAAGTCCCATTTTAAGTTCAAAACTTGACAATTAAGAACTCAACAGCAAGTTAAGAAAACTGTATATACAGAAACAAAATTTAGTGCCAAATAGAAGCAAATAAATACAAGTTCTGTTACCAAATAATGAAGCTATTCTAACATGAATCTGCTTTTCAATAGCATTGGGCCATCAAGACACACATTCAGCAATTCTAAGTCTTTAAAGAACAAAACACTTATAGTGGTTTCTAACAAGCCAAGATAAACATATCCAAATAGAAGTAGAAAAGCCATTATTTTTCTGTTGGTAGTACCGAGGATGGAAGCTGAGGCCTGGAAGAACCCCGCCTCTGCCACAATACAGAAAAGATGATCGTCCTATGTCACTTAACAAGGGCTTTTGTCTTTTCTCTCTTTCTGTCCACTCACTGGCCCAAAAGGATAGCTCATCAGGTTCCTTGGATGATGTCATAGCCTGGGATGTAACAGCAAATCTTCTTCCGAAAGTCAGTGGTTTTCATTGAGCATACCTGGAACCCCATGACCATGCCAGGCCTGGTTGTACAGCATGAGAGGCAGTATTGCTGTACTTACAGTTCTAAGCAGACTGGCACAGTGTAGTCTGCCTGTTGTTCAGCAGTATATCAGCCCTAACACTACTCAGCTTCCCTTCATCTTCTGCTGATGCTGGTTTTGCCCCAAAGCCCACCATTCATTATGCTGCTCTTCCTTTTCCTCATTGAATAATCTCATTACTGGCTGTTCCCCTTGATGCATTTAGATAATAACCTTTGGAGAAATTACAAGGAAAGAGAGCACATGATACTTCTATCTCACCACAGATTTCTCTGCACTTTGGCAGTCATGTGAGGAATGTGTGTGAGGACTATTGTTAAAGACCTGTGTAGAGTATGATTTCTGAAAGCAACTCCTCTCATTTCCACAAAAACAGAAAACGACATCTGGGAAAGTGCACTCCAACTTGGCTTTTATTTTTATTTTTCAGTTTTACATTCTACCACCCTGTTGACTTCCAGAAGCTATTCTTTCATGAGAAAGTGGCATGATCAAAACATCACTCAGAAAAACTGATTAATGATTTCCTGCCTCAGCAACTTTCAGATTATACACTAGCCTGAACTTGTTTCCTAAGCATATCTTACAAGCTTCTTGGCTACTCCCGGACAATCTATAAATGTACGGTGCTGGACTCTCTATGCTACGCTAGTCTGAAATGGATTTACTTAAGACAGTCTCATTTTGCTTCGATCCTTTCTCAAGGTTATCTCCTCATGCTTACACATCCATCAGATTTTTGACCAAGATACTTCCTACAAAATTACAGCCTTCAACACACATAGCATTAGGTTGGCTGTGATCAAAGCACTGAAACTGTAAGAAAGAAAACGGAAAAAAATGTATGGAGTTCACAGTCCTCCTTTCATATAAACATAATAGGATGAAATTCCCTGCAGGGCCATTTTTATCCTATATTCTCCCACTGTGTCAAATTCAGCTGTATTGGACATGGAAGGCTAAAAGTATGAAGTGGCGACCATTTTTCTAAAAGCCACTTCTCTGGGTGTCTCAGCGGCAATCTCCAAGGTATATAGCAATTCTTTTCTGTTGAAAGGTCATTTCTCTTCCCCTTTTCATCTAATATCCCAACTGCTCATTCATTTGTTTGAAAATTGGTGAGGATAGGGCTGGAAAGGTCACATGCTGCACCCTAGTAGTCTTAGTCTTTCTGTGTAGACAAATAGACATCTAATAAGCTTATTAAAAGTTTCACGGTGGCTGTACTATCTCCCTTCACATAACCATCACATGATGGGGTCTTATATAAAATTTGGAACTGCTAAAATTGCAACTCAAGGAGAGTGAGGCATGTAGAATTGTGGAACTGGATTTTCTGGTCTCTTGTTTACCATGTTTCTCTTCACAAAAGTGCTTCAATTCTTAGTATCAAAATTACCTGTGTGAAAGTAGAAGAGCTAAGAGATAACTATGCACATTCACATATATGCTTGGAAGGGAACTTACATAAGCCATAAATATGTGTATCAAACCTTTGGTTGAAATATGAGATCAGAAGAGGTGGATGTTCGGGTGGGGTAGAGGAAGCCCATGAGCATCTTGAGGCGGAATGTCACCCAGAGAAGGTGGGGATTCATGTAGACAGCATTAGGAAAAAATGATAAGAAAGAATGCTGCAGATTGAGAGATGTCCCAGGAGTCAGTGTGGAAGACATTTGCCTTCCCTGTCTTTTCCTGAGGATATTAGTTCTTTTGGTGAACTTACACAAACATGATATTAATGGTTTTCATTAAAATTAGCATTTATGTCTACAACTTATATGATTGTTATGATAAACATATTACATAATACATATTATATAATAATCTTAAAAACAAGCAAATGTTTGAACATTATAGCTTGAAATATAGTTAATGGAATTAATTTGCATTAAAAAGAGGGGTTTCCAAAACACAAATTTGTTTAGAAACTAGTGAACAATGATTTATAATAAATATTTGACATTTGATCTTAGCATCATAGACTCTGACAAATAAACTTTCCTCTCTGTTTGTCCCTACAAATGGCAGATGCCTGAGATTTCAGTGGCGTAAGAAACACCTGGGAACACAGTATTTGTTTATGACCATTTCTTGCTAAGAGAATTGACTCAATTTCCAAATAGACTTTTCAATACTACTTCTTGTGGCATTGGGTTAAGTTTTTGTTGGTCACAGCCTTAGAGAAAAATACAAATTAGTTTCCAAAGGTTCCTTCTCCATTTAGTTCAGTGTTTTTGACCACTTGGCTATGCTGCTGCTTACTTCTGTCTTCTTTTAATGAGACGTGACCAACACTTTCTGTGAGAAGCCAGTCTTCAGAAAAAGAATGATATGGAAATACTCATATTTACCCTTTAAATACTAGACTAGAACAATCATTATCCTAGAAAAGTAAAAGAACTGTATTAAAAGAAAGCAGAACGGTCTTTTTTTCTTTCCTTTTATTATTTAAGTTAGAAACAAGCTTGTTCATGTGTCAATCCCAGCTCCCTCTCCCTCCTCCCTCCTCCTCTACCCTTCCCACCAGGCCCCCCAGTATCCCCACCCAAACTTCACTCTGATCCCCAGGGAGGGTGAGTCCCTCCATGTTGAATATCCAGAGTCTGTTATTTCATCCAGGGCAGGACCTAGGTCCTCACACAAGTGTCCAAGCTGAGCAGAACGGTCTTTTAGTAAAAGGCGAAAGATTTATACGATCTGAAGAGAAACCAGAGTATTGGAGAATGGTCTTTTAAACAGGAAGAGACATCCCTGGGTTGCAGAAACATCCCGGCTATTTTAGAGGTTCAGATGCAGATTGGAAGGCTGACATAGTGTCACTGCAATTAGAAACAGGTGCATATAAATTAGAGAAGAGAGAAGACTAATTGTTACTAATGAACCTTTTAAAGTAAAAACTTAATGAAATGCTTAATTAAGCATTAATGGCCAAAAGATGGGCAATCTTCTTCCATTTAACTTATGTTAGATTTTGGTTTAATGTGAGCTAATTTTTTTTACTAGTGCTAAAAGTATCACTATTCCTACATCATTATAAAAACAAGCAATACAACAGATGCTGTTTTAAAATGCTGATTTTTATATGCATCAAGGCAAGGTGACAATGTTCTGATTTGCCTGTGATCAAGGGAAGTACTGAGATTGTACCTAGGATATAAGATCAGGTTCAAAGTTCCTGTAAGTCAAGATGTCCCTCCATCACTGTCCTCTATTTCTGTAATGGCTTCTTCTGATTAGCTTCAAACTTTCTGAAATTGTCACACTGTCAATGATCAGAGTGGTGTGTGTATGTATGTGTGTGTGTTTGCATGTGTGTGCATGTGTTCTTGAGTATGAATGCAGACACATACATGCAACAGCACACATGTGGGGGTCAGAGTACAGTCTCAGCTATTGGTCCTTGATTTCCACTTTTCCCTTTTGTTGCTCAGCTAGAGTTCACCAGGATAGCTGGACTGCTAGCTTCAGGTGTTTTCTCAGCTCATCTCTAGTGAGAGATAGTAATGGAGACAAAAATTCTGCAAAGCACTTTGTTTTGTGCTTTTAAACTCTAGAAGCCATGTGCACATACTAAAAATTAATTAAAAACAAAACATGAAAATAACCTGTCAAGTGTATATAAAAAAACATAAACTAATGAACCAAACTGTGAACTAGTGAGAACCATGCAGAGTAGATTTCTAGTGATTTTTTTAATACAGTAGTTTGACTTAATACCTTGCTTATATACTGTAAAGAAAAGAGGAAACAGA